CTGACCTCTCTCTGATGGTTGATGGAGGCTCTTGTGACTTTCTCTTTTGAGGAAACCGACTTTGATAAACAAAACAAACAAACAGCTGATAGATCACATGGGAAGCTGTCACACTGTTTCTCCAGTTTTCAACATCTTTCTGACTCAGAAAATATGCTCAAAAGCACAAGGTCTGAGTGAAGCCCGAGGACAGGAGTCATCTGCGTTACTGAGGAAGACGAGGAAGACGAAAACATTATTCACGAGGAAGAGTTTGGTTCTATCTGCCACAAAAGTCCTGAACTATTGTCACTTATATGAGATGTAGAGGATGAGGGTCAATGAGTCTCCCTCTGGTCTCTCTCTGGTCTCTCTCTGGTCTCTCTCCGGTCTCTCTCTGGTCTCTCCCTAGTCTCTCTCTGGTCTCTCTTTTATCTCTCTCTGGTCTCTCTCCGGTCTCTCTCCAGTCTCTCTCCGGTCTCTCTCTGGTCTCTCTCTGGTCTCTCTCTGGTCTCTCTCTGGTCTCTCTCTGGTCTCTCTCTGGTCTCTCTTTTGTCTCTCTCTGGTCTCTCTCTGGTTTCTCTCTGGTCTTTCTGGTCTCTCTATGTTCTCTCTCTGGTCTCTCCCTGGTCTCTCTCTGGTCTCTCTCTGGTCTCTCTCCGGTCTCTCTCTGGTCTCTCTATGTTCTCTCTCTGGTCTCTCCCTGGTCTCTCTCTGGTCTCTCTCTGGTCTCTCTCTGGTCTCTCTCTGGTCTCTCTCTGGTCTCTCTCTGGTCTCTCCCTGGTGTCTCTCTGGTCTCTCTCCGGTCTCGCTCTGGTCTCTCTCTGGTCTCTCTCTGGTCTCTCCCTGGTCTCTCTCTGGTCTCTCTCCGGTCTCTCTCCGGTCTCTCTCCGGTCTCTCTCTGGTCTCTCTCTGGTCTCTCTGGTCTCTCTTTTGTCTCTCTCTGGTCTCTCTTTGGTCCCTCTCAGGTCTCTCTCTCAGGTCTCTCTCTGGTCTCTCTCTGGTCTCTCTTTTGTCTCTCTCTGGTCTCTCTCTGGTCTCTCTCTGGTCTCTCTCTGGTCTCTCTCTGGTCTCTCTCTGGTCTCTCCCTGGTCTCTCTCTGGTCTCTCTCTGGTCTCTCCGGTCTCTCTCTGGTCTCTCTATGTTCTCTCTCTGGTCTCTCCCTGGTCTCTCTCTGGTCTCTCTCTGGTCTCTCTCCGGTCTCTCTCCGGTCTCTCTCTGGTCTCTCTCCGGTCTCTCTCTGGTCTCTCTCCGGTCTCTCTCTGGTTTCTCTCTGGTCTCTCTGGTCTCTCTCTGGTCTCTCTCCGGTCTCTCTCTGGTCTCTCTCCGGTCTCTCTCCGGTCTCTCTCTGGTCTCTCTCTGGTCTCTCTCTGGTCTCTCTGTACTGTTATCACATATGTAGATATGTGTGGATAATGTGAACTCTCCTCTGCATGTAAGGTGTCATGTGACGTGTATCACAAGATCTCAAGTGATCTATTTAAAACGCTGCGTCTTCACTTGTGCAATCCTTTAGTTGTTGCAGAAACAGTTTTGACCTGGATTTGAACATTGTCAGAGAAGAAGCCTGTCTCACATTTTCAGGAAGACTGTTCCAGATTTTAGCTGCATGAATCTGAAATGCTCCCTCCTCATGTTTAGTCCTGACTCTGGGACCAGCAGGAGGCCAGTCCCTGTGCTCCTCAGAGTCCGAGCAGGAGGCCAGTCCCTGTGCTGAGGCCATGGAGAGACTGGTACACACTCAGAGCTTCTTTAAAGTCTGCTTAATAACTGTCCCAACAGCAGCCTGTAGAGATTGAACAGCAGAGGTCCCAGGATCGACCCCTGTGGCACCCACAGGTCTGGCCCACATGATCCGAGTCCACACCCTTCTGCACTCCCCTCTCCTGGACACACACTGAATTACATCCAGTCACACAATCAACCTTAGTATCTCTACAACTAATACTCATTGCAATGTCGATACACAGCATGCCAAAGACGCCAGCGTTCAAGTGTTCAAAGAATTCTGATCAAATCAATTGTAGTTAAAGCTTCCACTCCTTGATTTTATCCTCCCATTTAGGAAGTGACAAAGCTTTTCGACTAACCATGTCACCAAACAAGTTTTCTTCTCTGATCTTCCGGAAGGTCAACATTTCGTCTGAGCTCCATGCATATAGTCTTCATCTTTCTGCACAGAATGTTCTCTTATGGCTCTATGTTTATTTAAATCGTATCAATGTTTGTCATCCACACATTCATGTTGACCACTAAACAGAGTCTGGTCCCTGCTGCAGGAATGGGTTGCGTTCATGTGACATCACAACATTCCAAAGAGGCTACAGTTTAATCATTGTGGTGGAAAACAGTTGCAAAATATCTGCCCTTCACCACAGGAACTATGGGAACGAGAAACTATTGTTACCAAAGTTCCTGGTACCTGTGCCAAGTGTCAAAAGTCAGACGTGTCAGCTCATAATAACTATAGTCTCTCTCTGGTCTCGCCCTCTGGTTTCTCCGGTCTCTCTCTGGTCTCTCTTTCTCTCTGGTCACCCTCTCTCTTGTCTCTATTTGGTCTCTCTTTGGTCTCTCTCTGGTGTCTCTCTATGGTCTCTCTCTCAGGTCTCTCTCTTGTCTCTCCCTCTGGTCTCGCTGGTCTCTCTCTTGTCTCTTTTTGGCATTTCTCCCTTCTCTCTCTCTCTGGTCTCTCTCTCTCTCTCTCTTGTGTCTCACTGGTCTCCGTTTTGTCTGTCTCTGGTTTCTCTCTCTGTTCTCTTTCTTATCTCTATCTTTCTGGTGTGTCTGGTCTCTCTCTTGTCTCTCTCTGGTCTCATTATTTTCACATATAAAAGAATCTAGAAGTCTTAACAATATTCAAAAACACATGATGTTGCTCAAAAAGAAAAGACTTTCAGATGATTTAACTTCTCTGATTTAACTTCTCTGTGTTAAAAGTTCTTCTTTCTCCAAGAGATGCGTCACTTGGACGCTCCTGCATCCAAGTGAAAAAGAATTCTAAAACTTGAACGTAACCCATTAGAACGAGCACTTTGAACCATGATCTCACTCAGCCACACTTTGAGCCCACCCAGATTTCTTTCTTTCTTTTTTTCTTTCTTCCCCCAAAAACTTTCCTCAACTCAACTTTACGGCAAAGTCTCTGCAGAGCTGTGAAAGCAGTGGGCGTTGGAACCTGAAACTGTGCGTGTGTCTCTTTAAGAAGCGTAGGCGTCGGAGGAATGCAATGTCTATATTTTCCTCTAGCCAGACTTCAGCCATAATCTCCCGGTGTGCGTGGGTAGTGTCGGGAAATTCAGAAAAGAAAAAAAACACTAACAAAAAGCCAAACCTTGTTCCCTTTTGGCGTTTTGAATAAATGAAACTAAAAATGAAACTAGAGAAAGAGGATTCTTTAAGAAGCGGGAGGATACAGTGTGTCTAGACTGGTGAATGCATGATACACATTAGCATCTTTAGCCGTTAGCGTAATTGGAGATGCTTACAGCCCACGCACTACACATCAGGGCAACGCTGGTTCAGACCGGAGAAAGAGAGAGAGAGAGAGAGAGAGAGAGAGAGAGAGAGAGAGAGAGAGCAGTATGGGGTAAATACAAGGGCTGCACATTTGCCATCTGCTGTCATCAAAACAAAGGACTGCCCTTTTCAAACCAGGCTGACAGCTTTGTTTTGGTTTTGCTTCTGTGGAAATATTTTCGTATAGCACAGTAAAAATATAACGCATTAAAATCATAAAGAAACACAGTGCTTTAAAATGAGTAAAGGCCAGTCCCTGTGATCCTCAGAGTGCCAGCAGGAGGCCAGTCCCTTTGCTCCTCAGAGTCCCAGCAGGAGGCCAGTCCCTGTGCTCCTCAGAGTCCCAGCAGGAGGCCAGTCCCTGTACTCCTCAGAGTCCCAGCAGGAGGCCAGTCCCTGTGCTCCTCAGAGTCCCAGCAGGAGGCCAGTCCCTGTGCTCCTCAGAGTCCCAGCAGGAGGCCAGTCCCTGTGCTCCTCAGAGTCCCAGCAGGAGGCCAGTCCCTGTACTCCTCAGAGTCCCAGCAGGAGGCCAGTCCCTGTACTCCTCAGAGTCCCAGCAGGAGGCCAGTCCCTGTGCTCCTCAGAGTCCCAGCAGGAGGCCAGTCCCTGTACTCCTCAGAGTCCCAGCAGGAGGCCAGTCCCTGTGCTCCTCACAGTCCCAGCAGGAGAAGACATTGCATTAATTACTGCAGTCATGTTTTCACCTTTTCTCTCAGCTTTAGGATGATTTATCACCAATTCTTCGAACCTTTCGGACTTGCTTTAACAAAGTGTGTTCTGATTCGGACTGGAGGTGGTCCCTCTGTGTTCCAGCCGCTCAGACCCCCGACTGCCCTGGAGGTGGTCCCTCTGTGTTCCAGCCGCTCAGACCCCCGACTGCCCTGGAGGTGGTCCCTCTGTGTTCCAGTCGCCATTGAGGCACCTTGACAGTATCATCCGACCAACTTCAGCTCCATCAATACAGTCCTGCTAAACCTGGTTGAAAATCTCAGATCCTGTAGAATCCAGTCGTTGATTTTATTGTTTTATACTGACATTTGTTTTATGATTATGTCACAACATTCTAAATAAAATGCAGCTATGTGTCAATCAATAAGGACATTTCATAACTAATTTTAAATTCCAGAATCTAGTCAATCCAGTTTTTAAATCCAGGTCGTCAGCCCCAGGTCATGTCTGATGAACTAAAGTGGCCCTCTTATTTCTGACTCATATTGAATGAACTAATGTGACTGTTTCATATTGATTTTAAAAAGTTCGTTTTTTGTCTCAGGCAAAATGCTTTTTGCATCCCTAACCCTAATATGTTTCATCCCAACAAATACAAGGAGATCAAGGAGGCCGTTGAAATCAGAGAGCGGGGCCACAACAGTATCAACCTGGACGAGGGAGCCTTCCTGCTGTCGCACACATGGGACACCCTCCTCCAGAGACCACAGATCGAAAGAGGGCGTGGTCAGTCAGAGCAACCTGCCAATCAAGCTGACCCCGCCCACTCAGGAAACATGGTCAGCACTAGATCATAATTATACGGAATCGGGACGAAACCGGAAGACCCCCGACTGCCCTGGAGGTGGTCCCTCTGTGTTCCAGCCGCTCAGACCCCCGACTGCCCTGGAGGTGGTCCTTCTGTGTTCCAGCCGCTCAGACCCCCGACTGCCCTGGAGGTGGTCCCTCTGTGTTCCAGCCGCTCAGACCCCCGACTGCCCTGGAGGTGGTCCCTCTGTGTTCCAGCCGCTCAGACCCCCGACTGCCCTGGAGGTGGTCCCTCTGTGTTCCAGCCGCTCAGACCCCCGACTGCCCTGGAGGTGGTCCCTCTGTGTTCCAGCCGCTCAGACCCCCGACTGCCCTGGAGGAGGCTCTGCATTCCTCCTCAGCAGCGGAACACTCGAGGTCTCAGTACAAGGCCAAGAGTACTTTACATTCCATCTCTCTGAGCTGTCAGTCAGCAGAGACTACAGCAGGAGACTACAGCAGGAGACTACAGCAGGAGACTACAGCAGGAGACTACAGCAGGAGACTACAGCAGGAGACTACAGCAGGAGACTACAGCAGGAGACTACAGCAGGAGACTACAGCAGGAGACTACAGCAGAGACTACAGCAGGAGACTACAGCAGGAAACTACAGCAGAGACTACAGCAGGAGACTACAGCAGAGACAGCAGGAGACTACAGCAGAGACTACAGCAGAGACTACAGCAGGAGACTACAGCAGGAGACTACAGCAGGAGACTACAGCAGGAGACTACAGCAGGAGACTACAGCAGGAGACTACAGCAGGAGACTACAGCAGGAGACTACAGCAGAGACTACAGCAGGAGACTACAGCAGGAAACTACAGCAGAGACTACAGCAGGAGACTACAGCAGAGACAGCAGGAGACTACAGCAGAGACTACGGCAGGGACTACAGCAGGACTACAGCAGGAGACTACAGCAGGAGACTACAGCAGGAGACTACTGCAGGAGACTACAGCAGAGACTACAGCAGGAGACTACAGCAGAGACTACAGCAGAGACTACAGCAGGAGACTACAGCAGAGACTACAGCAGGAGACTACAGCAGAGACTACAGCAGAGACTACAGCAGAGACTACAGCAGGAGACTAAAGCAGGAGACTAAAGCAGGAGACTACAGCAGAGACTACAGCAGAGACTACAGCAGGAGACTACAGCAGAGACTACAGCAAAGACTACAGCAGAGACTACAGCAGGAGACTACAGCAGAGACTACAGCAGAGACTACAGCAGAGACTACAGCAGGAGACTACAGCAGAGACTACAGCAGAGACTACAGCAGAGACTACAGCAGAGACTAAAGCAGGAGACTACAGCAGAGACTACAGCAGAGACAACAGCAGAGATTACAGCAGAGACTACAGCAGGAGACTACAGCAGAGGAGACAGGAAATGCTCATTCATCCGTCACAACATTGTTCCTCATCAAAATCAGACCCGGAGAAGTTCTCAGCTCCATCTACACCGGGCATGTCCAAACTCAGGCCTGCGGGCCAAATACGGTCCTCTGTGCCTTTTAATGTGACCCTTCTGCTACTAACATAAAGTCGCCATTGAGGCGCCTTTGCAGTATCATCCGACCAACTTCAGCTCCATCAATACAGTCCTGCTAAACCTGGTTGAAAATCTCAGATCCTGTAGAATCCAGTCGTTGATTTTATTGTTTTATACTGACATTTGTTTTATGATTATGTCACAACATTCTAAATAAAATGCAGCTATGTGTCAATCAATAAGGACATTTCATAACTAATTTTAAATTCCAGAATCTAGTCAATCCAGTTTTTAAATCCAGGTCGTCAGCCCCAGGTCATGTCTGAAGAACTAAAGTGGCCCTCTTATTTCTGACTCATATTGAATGAACTAATGTGACTGTTTCATATTGATTTTAAAAAGTTCGTTTTTTGTCTCAGGCAAAATGCTTTTTGCATCCCTAACCCTAATATGTTTCATCCCAACAAATACAAGGAGATCAAGGAGGCCGTTGAAATCAGAGAGCGGGGCCACAACAGTATCAACCTGGACGAGGGAGCCTTCCTGCTGTCGCACACATGGGACACCCTCCTCCAGAGACCACAGAACGAAAGGGGGCGTGGTCAGTCAGAGCAACCTGCCAATCAAGCTGACCCCGCCCACTCAGGAAACATGGTCGGCACTAGATCATAATTATACGGAATCGGGACGAAACCGGAAGCAAAACTCGTACTTTCAAATTAGTTTTAGACTAATGTGTCCTCAAAGGGTGACTGGTTACGTTTTAGGCTTCTGAGTAAGATGGTTAAGGGGAGGGTTAAGGTGGTCTGAGTGAGATGGTTAAGGTTAGGGTTAAGGTGGTCTGAGTGAGATGGTTATGGTTAGGGTTAAGGCTGGGTTGGGGTTATTTTATGGGAATAACTGGTTAAGTTTAGGCATGAATAGGTAGTTTGTTATATTTACTTCCGCTTCCGTCCCGATTCCGTATATGATCTAGTGCCGACCTGATAAACATCAGAGGCGACAGTTCTGAAGAAGTCTCACAGCTCTGCAGCCGAAACATGTGAACAAAGAAATACATCTGAACTCGTTTGAAACACAATAAGCACAGTTTAATTTTGAACTGCTGTGTTTTAAAACCACTGGAGGATCATATCAACCTTGATCTTGAGCCTGTGTTTGTGACTGTCACTTTGGAGCGCAGACTATGTAGAGATTCTGGTTTAAAGTAATGTCTCACATCTGAAATATTTCTCAGATAGAAACTCAGATTCCACCCGTGGTTCAAGCACAGGGTTTAAAGATAGAGTCTGGATGTTGGCAGACGCTCTCACTCAAGGATAGGCCATTATAAGGAACTGACTAAAGGGGAATTCAGACCGTTGACTCTTGAACGCAACTTGATTGTGGCATTAGCAAGCACGTAGCTTCTATCCTGTCATACTGCTGAAGCTAAGTTGGGCTGGGCCTGGTTAGTACTGTGATGGGAGACCTCTGGGAACACCAGGGCAGCTGTGGCTACAGTAGTAGTTTATCACCACATGTGTGTGGAGTGAATGAATAATGAGTCTTCCCCAAATAATCACAGAACACGATACATTCTTGGTGTACTTTTCTCAATGCTCTCTCTCTGTGTCTCTTTCACTCTCTCTCCCTCCCTCTGCCCTCTCGCTCTCTGGTCTATCTCCGTCACTCTGATCTCTCTCTCTCTCTCTCTCTCTGGACTCTCCCTCCCTCTGGTCTTTCTCTCTCTGGTATCTCCCTCAATCTGGTCTCTCTCTGGTGTCTCTCTGGTGTGTCTCTCCCTCTGGTCTCTCTCTCTCTGGTCTCTCTCTCTGGTCTCCCTCTCTGGTTTCTCTCTCCTTCTGGTCTCTCTCTCCCTCCGGTCTGTCCCCCTCTGGTCTCTCTCTCTCTCCCTCTGGTCTCTCTCCCTGGTCTCTCTTTCCCCTCCTGGTCTCTGTCTCTGGTCTCTCTCTCCCCCTCTGATCTCTCTCTCTCTCTCCCTCTGGTCTCCCTCTGGTCTCTCTCTTTCTCTGGTCTCTCTCTCTGGTCTCTCTCTGTTCTCTCTCTTCTCTCTCTCTCTCTCTCTCGCTCTCTGGACTCTCCCTCCCTCTGGTCTTTCTCTCTCTGGTATCTCCCTCAATCTGGTCTCTCTCTGGTGTGTCTCTCCCTCTGGTCTCTCTCTCTCTGGTCTCTCTCTCTGGTCTCCCTCTCTGGTTTCTCTCTCCCTCTGGTCTCTCTCTCCCTCCGGTCTGTCCCCCTCTGGTCTCTCTCTCTCTCTCCCTCTGGTCTCTCTCCCTGGTCTCTCTCTCTCCCCCTCTGGTCTCTGTCTCTGGTCTCTCTCTCTTCCTCTGAATCTCTCTCTCTTCTCTCTCTCTCTCTCTCTCTCTCTGCCCCCCCCCCCCCCCCCGGTCTCTCTCTCTCTCCTGGTGTGATGACGTCAGCTGATGGAACAAACGTGAGGGCTGTGTCCGTCTCACGCCTCTCACATATCAGCATCAGTCTCTGGTGTCAGTCGGTGTCTGAACCCGAGACCAGTTTCCAGAGTATTTTACCTTTGTCTCGGTGTGAAACTCAAGAACAGGTCGAGCCCTCGGTGCAAGCGGCGTTTGGACGAGTGAAGTTTGAGCGGATTTTAGCCACAGTCGTCGGCAGGTCATGGTCAGGTCATTGAAGAGGGGAAAAATGTGTCCATCCAGATCTTTTAGGCCCAATAATAACTGAGCATTCCCACTGTGGCACCTGCTGTTCACAGAGGTCTCCCATCGCAGTATTAATCAGGCCCTGCCATGCTTAGTTCTAGTGGTCTGACAGAATCTAGCTTTTTTGTGCAGGTATAACTACACTAATATACCCTTGAGTAGAGTAGATTAGTTAAGAGTATGTAGACAGAGTAGAGTATTAAAGTAGAGTATAGTATAGAGTAGAGTAGAGTACAGTAGAGTAGAGTAGAGTGGAATAGAGTAGAATAGAGTATATCAAAGTAGAGTAGGGTAAAGTGGGTTAAAGTAGAGTAGAGTAGAACAGGGTGACAGTAGCTCAGTTGGTGCATTGGCCTTTGAGCCTGAAGGTCGTGGGTTCGAGCCCGACTTTCTCCATCGACTCCCACTGTCTGCTGTCGATGTATCCTTGGGCAAGACACTTAACCTCTGGGAACACCAGCCACAGTGGGGCGGCTGCGGCTGTAAAGTGCCAAACTGCCGTTGTGTCCTTAGGCAAGACACTTCACCCCCATTGCCTAAAATGAGTCTGGTGTGTGTGTAAATGGTTGGTGGTGGGAGGGGCCTCACTTCTGTCAGCGTGCCCCAGGGCAGCTGTGGCTACAATAGTAGTTTATCACCACCATGTTTGGAGTGAAAGAATAATGACATGTGAGGTGTCTTTGAGTGTCCAGAAAAGCACTATATAAAACCGATGCATTATTAGAGTATATCAAAATAAAGTAGAGTAGGGTAGAGTAGGGTAGAGTATGGTAGAGTATGGTAGAGTAGAGTAGAGTAGAGTCAACTAGAGCTGATGGAATAAGATAAGATAAACCTTTATTCGTCTCACAGTGGAGAAATTTCAGTGTCATCGTTACACATTACAGCAGAGAGTGGAGATAAGAGCGCTCAGATTGCACACATCAAGTAAGTCTATTATTTAAGATGATAGACAATAAAATTAAGATAAAGAATAAAATCAAATAAAAAAATAAAATAAACTCTCTGGGGCTATAATTGCACTGAATGGATTGAATGGAGTCTGACCAGGAAATAACAAAAACACTTCTGTCTTTCTTTCCTGCTTGATAATAGTAAATATGGACGACACACGTGTGGTTAAAGGGGAACTCTGGGTTTGGCATCATTCATTTCAATGGGCACTGAGCGGCTGACTGGGCATGACCCACACACCGACACTGTCACGGGGAGGACAGGGACCACAGCCGTCCACACAAACACACTCATGTTAATGCTAATACTAATACTAATGCTAATGCTAATACTTATACTAATACTGATACTAATACTAATACTAATGCTACTACTAATACTAATACTAATACTAATGCTAATACTAATGCTAATACTAATACTACTACTAATACTACTACTAATACTAATACTACTACTAATACTAATGCTACTACTAATACTAATACTAATACTAATACTAATGCTACTACTAATACTAATACTAATACTAATGCTAATACTAATGCTAATACTAATACTCATGTTAATACTAATGCTAATGCTACTACTAATACTACTACTACTACTACTAATAATACTAATACTAATACTACTACTAACACTAATATTAATACTAATACTAATACTGATGCTACTACTAATACTAATACTAATACTGATGCTACTACTAATACTAGTGCTAATACTAGTGCTAATACTAATACAAATACTAATACTACTTCTAATACTAAGACTACTACTACTAATACTTATACTAATACTACTACTAATACTAGTGCTATACTAATACTAATACTGCTACTACTAGTTAATACTGTCACAGATGTACAAAGTGTTGGTGATACAGATACAGGACTTTTGTAGACTCCAAACAGACTCTATTTCACATCAAGTCAAATAATTTTTGTAGAGACCTAAATCAGCAGTTATCTTGGAGGATTGTCGATTCTCCAACAAAGATCAGAGAATCAAACAGTACAATACAATTTATTCTTGTATAGCCCTAGGTCACAACAGAAGTCATCTCAGAGACAAAACCATTGAAATCACCAACACAGGTCAGAGAATCAACAGTTAAAACACATGAAGAATATAAAGCACACACAGAAGAAAATGTCCATACATGTTGTAGAATGCTAAAGTGTCCTGATCATCACCAATCCTTTCTGTTGGACACTAACTGTCCAACAAGACCCTCCTGCATCGACAAGGAAAAACTCTTAAAAAACCCAGTGGGAAAAAGTGAGAAACCTTGGGGAGAACTAGGGAAACCCATAGGGTGGGTATAATACTGACATTATCGAGAGTGATTATCTGGTTAGTAAGGGAGTCACGCAGGCGATTCGGACCGAGTAGGATCACTTCTGTCTTCTCCGGGTTGAGAAGTAGGAAGTTAATAATCATCCACGTTTTAAGGTCCTTTATGCAGCACTGAGCTTTTCTAGCTGATCTGTCTGATTTGGCTTCATCGACAGATAAAGCTGTGTGTCATCTGCATAGCAGTGGATATTAATTCCATGCTTTTTAATAATGTTTCCTAACGGCAGCATGTAGAGAGTGAAAAGAATCGGTCTGAGTACCGAACCCTGCGGCACACCGAATTCTACTCCAGAATGAGGTGACGAGTTCTGATTTACGTTGACGAAGTGATACCAATCTGATAAATAGGATTTAAACCAGCCAAGGGCTGTTCCTCTAAGACCTTTATCACATTCTAGCCTCTGCAGTAGAATGCTGTGGTCTATTGTGTCAAATGCAGCACTAAGGTCCAGTGGAACCAGCACTGACACTTGTCCATTATCAGCAGCTAGTAGTAAGTCATTTGTGACTTTGACTAGTGCCGTTTCAGTGCTATGATGAGCTCTGAATCCTGATTGAAAGACTTCAAACATATTATTTTCCTGCAGGTGGCAGCGAAGCTGCTCAGCTATACGTTTTTCCAGGTTTTTAGATATGAAAGTGAGGTTTGAGATCGGTCTGTAGTTTGTAAGTATTTCTAAGTCCAGGTTTGTTTTCTTCAGAAGGGGTTTGATTACCGCGGTTTTAAAAGCTTGTGGGACATAGCCACATTGTATGGATGCGTTTATTATATTTACGATAGGCTCAATTATCAAAGGAAGTATGTCTTTGAAGAGCCAAGTCGGGACTGCGTCTAACATGCAAGTTGAGGCTTTTGAGGATGTGACCACAGAGATCACCTCTGCTTGGCTCACAGCCATGAATTTATCGAGGCCCACTGAAGAGTCTAAGTGGGAAGTCACGTATGCCGCTTCAGCCTGTCCACTACCAACAGCAGGAGTAACCTCCTCCAGTTTGTCACGGATGGATGTCATTTTATTATTAAAGAAGTGGAGAAAGTCGACATTATTGTCCCTTTCAAGGCGATGTGTTTTCCTCTATTGCTTTGGCTGTGTCCACTCTTATCTCACATACCTACTGGCCAAGGGCAGTAGGTGCCCCCCCACAGTTTTTCCAATGTGGTTTTACTGCAAATGGCAGAACTGCTCAGTGAGCTTGGAATTATAGGCTGTATTACGCTATGGCAGTTTGTGAGTTTAGCGACGGTGCTAAACAAAAATCTACTGTTATTTTTATTGGCTTCTATTAAAGTTGAATAGTATTGAGTTCGAGCCCCGCGAAGGGCATTCTTGTAGTTTCGGAGACCTGCTTTCCACTCCCTGTGGACAGGCTCCGAGTGGGAGTGGCGATATAGCCTCTCCAATTTTCTGACGTCCTGTTTTAAAGTGTGGAGTTGAACACTGTACCAGGGCGACGATGATCTAATCCTAATAGTTTTCTGTTTTAAAGGAGCTGCTGCATTTAATGCAGATTTTAAAGACTCCATAGTGTTGCCCACCGTTTGGTCAATGACTGAGGGACTGCAGCAGCTGTGAACAGGTTCACCTGCAGCAGTATTCAACATAGGCTGTATTAGTTCTTTGAACCTTGTGATAGATTTATCATTTAATTTTTTTCGAGATCAAACGTGATACTATACAAAAAAACTTGCCTTTGCCGTAATAAATTAATCCATACAACGCCACATCTGACTGTTGTGTAAGCTGAGATCAAAGAGACTGAGTCCTCACAGAAACGTTATCTCGGCTCCACATTATCAATGACCTGCAACACGCTGGCTCCACATGTTCTTCACGGTGATGCGGTTATGTGGGTAACTATTAACCAGGAAAAAAAACGTTTTAAAACAAGACATTTTCACTGTAGGGCTCTCTGTACAGGCTTGGACCCCACAGCCACCCAGCTACATTCACATCATGCAACACTTCCGGACTTTTCCAACCAAATTATCATATGTTTGGATGGAAAAGTCATGTTCTCTGGTTTTCCCATGCACCGTGAGAAAAATGCACAATAAGCAAAATCTTTCGCTGCTTCCGACAGACGCCCCACACCGCAACAAGGAACAAAAAATAAGTCCGAAATTACTTGAATCCGGCAAAATGTATCTTTATCTGAGCACATTCTGACGGAGCCTTACAACATTATTAACCAATGAGACAAAGCAAAATGATCAAGAAATTTGGAATGATAAAAAAGTTACAGGTCTTGAAATTGGACTAAATGTCTTTGTCCCATTGGATAATTTTGTTTTAAAACAGTCAGAATGTGACAGATTAAGACAAAAATCACTCAATTCAAGCAATTATTACTTCATATTTCATCATTTTTTGCAGTGTAGCAACAATAGATAATACCTTTACACTTTTATGACTGTGGCTATGGCCTTATCTCTCGGCTTTCTTAACTTTTTTAGTTCTTTACCGATTCAGGAGGATCTAAGGACAGTGGTGATCGTCCGGGACATTTATTAACATTTATGTGTTTGTTATCGCTGCATTTCCTCTGATTCTCTGATCTGTTTTGGTGAATCGGCACTTTTTCTGTTTTGATTTAGGGTCATATAACACTAAAAAAGTCCAGTCGTGGCATCAATAAAAGCGCTGGTCGTGTGTTGTTTGGAAAACCCTGTGAAAACTCTCAAAGGTAGTTTCCGGAGCTCGTAAAAAAAAAAAAACCTGGGCGCAGCGAGATGACATCATCATTGAGGGACCAGGGCGTGTTCTGCCGCTGTGCCCTTGAACCCTGATGATCTGTGGTTGATTCTTGGATAAGGCTAACCACTCCGACAGTAAGCCCAGTGCAATTGGACATATTTAGCAATAGCATTACTAACTGCAGATGAAAAGCCAGATTCTGACAAATCTCTGTAGTTAAGTAAGACTAGAACAAATGATTAAAAGTACAGTATGCAATTTTGTTAGCTTAGCCGTAGCACCAACTCGAAACAACTCCCCCCTCCCCTCTCCACCAAACCACTCCCCCTCCCCTCCCTCTCCACCAAACCACTCCCTCCTCCCCTCCCTCTCCACCAAACCACTCCCCCTCCCCTCCCTCTCCACCAAACCACTCCCTCCTCCCCTCCCTCTCCACCAAACCACTCCCCCTCCCCTCCCTCTCCACCAAACCACTCCCTCCTCCCCTCCCTCTCCACCAAACCACTCCCCCCCCCTCCCTCTCCACCAAACCACTCCCTCCTCCCCTCCCTCTCCACCAAACCACTCCCCCTCCCCTCCCTCTCCACCAAACCACTCCCCCCTCCCCTCCCCTCCCTCTCCACCAAACCACTCCCCCCTCCCCTCCCCTCCCCTCCCCTCTCCACCAAACCACTCCCCCTCCCCTCCCCTCTCCACCAAACAAAACTTCAAAGCGTCAGGCCTCGCGGATGTTTGCCGAAGGTAAAGAAACTATAGGATGTCAACGTGTCAGAGTCTGGGGCCTGGAGATGTTTGTGCGTTCAGTGGGGTGTATGTGTAGTGTTGTGTAGGCAAATGTTTAAAAGGATTGGTTACATAAGCGCAAAAGGGAAAAACAAAGATGTAGCCAAAATGTATCACGCTAATCTAATCAGGAGCAGGATCTGAGGCACTTTTACCGTCAAACTGCATCTCAAGAACAATAAAATACTAGGGGTTAAAACAAACAAAACATAAAAACTATTTCTTAGTGTTGCTACAACTTGAAAAAAAAAAACAACAAATCTCTCTTCAAGAAGTCAACGTGAAAGTGTTAAAAATAAAACACAATCTCTAACTTTAGCATAATAAAAAACCAGCATCAAATACTGTATACATTAGTGCAACAAATACATACTGTAGACACATCAGTAATATTGTAGTGCAAGAATATTACGGTAAATCGTCATTAGCATTAGCATTAACATTAGCATTAGCATATTCACAGTGATGGATCTTCTGTACATTAGCAGCGTGAGGCTCTGGGACAAAGTGACCTAGTAAAGTGACAAAGTGACAGTGACACATGTGGTTCTATATTGCACATTATTGCTCAGATGCATGACAGTGTTCTTCAGTCTTCATTGTTCGTTGTACAGTCCGACAGCAGCAGTGAGGAAAGACCTGCGGAAACACCACACATAATATTGTCATGTATGAAGTCTATACACCTGTAATAAAACCCTGTTTAAAATGGAGAAAAATCAGGTTATAGATAAAAAGATGGTGTGAGAGAGAGAGGGGGGAGAGAGAGAGAGAGAGGGAGACAGAGAGAGAGAGGGGGGAGAGAGAGAGAGAGAGGGAGACAGAGAGACAGAGGGGAGAGAGAGAGAGAGAGGGGGGAGAGAGAGAAAGAGAGAGAGACAGAGAAAGTGACAGATAGAGGGAAGAAGAGAGAGAGCGACAGAGAGAGAGAAGGAGAGGGAGGGAGAGAGAGAGCAACAGAGAGAAAGAAAGCAACAGAGAGAGAGAGCAACAGAGAGAGAGAGCGACAGAGAGAGAGAGGGAGGGAGAGAGAGGGCAACAGAGAGAGATAGAGCGACAGAGAGAGAGCGACAGAGAGGGAGAGAGAGAGCATGACAGAGAGAGAGAGAGCGACAGAGACAGAGGGAGACAGAGAGAGAGAGAGAGCGAGAGAGAGAAAGCAACAGATAGAGGAAGAGAGAGAGCGAGAGAGAGAGAGAGCGAGAGAGAAAGGAGAGAGAGAGAGAGGAGAGAGATAGGGTTAGAGAGAGAGAGGGTTATAGAGAGAGAGACAGAGAGAGAGAAAGAGAGAGTTAGAGAGAGAGAGAGAAAGAGCGACAGAGAGAGAGGGAGAGAGAGAGATCAAAGTTACTAACAACAATAACAAAGTAGACCTGGTTCTTTCACATTTGTCATTTTTTCACATAGTTTTGTTGAAGCAGTAACTACATACAGTAAAGAAGATAAATTCAGGGTTTTTTGGGTTGGAAAGTACCGTTTGTGTTCAGCGGTGTCTGAGTGAAGTCTGGACACAAATGTAAGTTTACATTCTGCTCTAAAAACATTCTGCTGAAAGTCAATCCACAGAAACAACAAAAACACGTCTGCTTCTGGGTGTTTGCCTTGAGACGAGGCCAGGTCTAAGAAGTGTGTAAACAGGAGGAGCACGAGGCTGCAGCAGCGGGAACACAACAACCCCGAGACCAGGAGGAGCACGAGGCTGCAGCAGCGGGAACACAACAACACCGAGACCAGGAGGAGCATGAGGCTGCAGCAGCGGGAACACAACAACACCGAGACCAGGAGGAGCACGAGGCTGCAGCAGCGGGATCACAACAACACCGAGACCAGGAGGAGCACGAGGCTGCAGCAGCGGGATCACAACAACACCGAGACCAGGAGGAGCACGAGGCTGCAGCAGCGGGATCACAACAACACAGAGACCCGGACAAAAAACATGTATTCTACAGAAACCCTGCATGATATGTCTGGACTGATGCAAACACAGAGCTCTCCTGTGGAGCTGTTGGTTCTGTAGAAAAGAGTGATCACAATCATAGGATCGTCACAGGACAGAGAATAGATCCACTCACAGTCAGGACTGGACTTTGGCTCCATCACACCACACTTTAAGACCCAGGCAGGATTCTAATGAAGAATAAAAACTGGATATCCTCCCATCAAAGCTTTAAACCATCTCAGAGCTGCCTTAAACATGTCCTTATAAAAAAGTTATACTTTGTGCATAACATTTTTGTGATATTTTGTGGGAAAACCATAGACTGTACATTTTATTAACGGAGGTAGTCACGCCTATCTCCGCCGTTCTAACTAATGGGCCAAAAATTGGGCTTTCATGGAGTGATTCAAAATGGCAGCGGAGGCTGGAAAATGTGAAAAAACGCATCTGTGCATAAGTCAGCTGCACGAGCCCCGTTTATTTAAACGAGAGACTTCAAAAGTCCACAGCGACTAAACTAGACTGGTCCAGAACACTCAGCATTGACACACATGTGGAACGGAGCTTTGGGCCAAGAGCCACTTTTGGACCATCCTGTAAAGGTGTTTTCCAGAGGTTAGAAGATGCTATATGTTAGCATTAGCTAATTCTTATTCCGGGTTCACCCCCACAGGCCCGGGGTGGTATTGCAGCATGTCAGCGCACGCCATTTTGGACACTTTTGAGCCGGGACTTGCCCTCACTGTGAAAAACCCGATAAATTATGTCTGAAAAAAAAACATGTCCCTGTGAGTCCCGGTTTACATGACTGTCCCGGTTTAGATGACTGTCCCGGTTTACATGACTGTCCCGGTTTACATGACTGTCCCGGTTTAGATGACTGTCCTGGTTTACATGACTGTCCTGGTTTAGATGACTGTCCTGGTTTACATGACTGTCCTGGTTTAGATGACAGTCCTGGTTTAGATGACAGTCCTGGTTTAGATGACTGTCCTGGTTTACATGATTGTCCCGGTTTACATGACTGTCCTGGTTTACATGACTGTCCTGGTTTACATGATTGTCCCGGTTTACATGACTGTCCTGGTTTACATGACTGTTCCGGTTTACATGACTGTCCTGGTTTAGATGACAGTCCTGGTTTAGATGACTGTCTTGGTTTAGATGACTGTCTTGGTTTAGATGACTGTCTTGGTTTAGATGACTGTCTTGGTTTAGATGACTGTCTTGGTTTAGATGACAGTCATGGTTTACATGACTGTCCTGGTTTACATGACTGTTCCGGTTTACATGACTGTCCTGGTTTAGATGACAGTCCTGGTTTAGATGACTGTCTTGGTTTAGATGACTGTCTTGGTTTAGATGACTGTCTTGGTTTAGATGACTGTCTTGGTTTAGATGACTGTCTTGGTTTAGATGACTGTCTTGGTTTAGATGACTGTCCTGGTTTAGATGACTGTCCTGGTTTAGATGACTGTCTTGGTTTAGATGACTGTCTTGGTTTAGATGACTGTCTTGGTTTAGATGACTGTCCTGGTTTAGATGACAGTCATGGTTTAGATGACTGTCTTGGTTTAGATGACTGTCCCGGTTTAGATGACAGTCATGGTTTACATGACTGTCCCGGTTTAGATGACTGTCTTGGTTTAGATGACTGTCTTGGTTTAGATGACTGTCCTGGTTTAGATGACAGTCATGGTTTAGATGACTGTCTTGGTTTAGATGACTGTCCTGGTTTAGATGACTGTCTTGGTTTAGATGACTGTCTTGGTTTAGATGACTGTCCTGGTTTAGATGACAGTCATGGTTTACATGACTGTCCCGGTTTAGATGACTGTCCCGGTTTAGATGACTGTCTTGGTTTAGATGACTGTCTTGGTTTAGATGACTGTCTTGGTTTAGATGACTGTCTTGGTTTAGATGACTGTCCTGGTTTAGATGACTGTCTTGGTTTAGATGACTGTCTTGGTTTAGATGACTGTCTTGGTTTAGATGACTGTCCTGGTTTAGATGACAGTCATGGTTTAGATGACTGTCTTGGTTTAGATGACTGTCCCGGTTTAGATGACAGTCATGGTTTAGATGACTGTCTTGGTTTAGATGACTGTCCTGGTTTAGATGACTGTCTTGGTTTAGATGACAGTCATGGTTTACATGACTGTCCCGGTTTAAATGACTGTCCCGGTTTAGATGACTGTCTTGGTTTAGATGACTGTCTTGGTTTAGATGACTGTCTTGGTTTAGATGACTGTCTTGGTTTAGATGACTGTCTTGGTTTAGATGACTGTCCTGGTTTAGATGACTGTCCTGGTTTAGATGACTGTCCTGGTTTAGATGACTGTCCACTGTCTCATGTCCATCTCTATACAGTCTATGTTATTACTCTCCATCTGTATAAACATATTATTCCTACAGAGAGATTTTACTGAAAACACTTTAAATCCTCTAAACTTCTAAAAAGCTTTTCTGCTTTAAAGCTCCCTCCCTCAACTCTGAGCCATGTGACCAAGCAGAGCAAACAGAATTGTTTTTATCTCATTCTACACGTCGGCCTCTCTCTCCTCTGCTCATCACAGAGTATAATAAAAATAATTAATCGTACTGGATATGGCTTATTTGCTGATTCACTCATCCTCTAAAACAAACACTGTCATTATTTGTAACTCACGCTTTTCCGACTGCATCAGTTACTGCGTTTTCTTTCCATTTCTTGTCTCTCTCTGGTCTCTCTCTGGTCTCTCTCTGGTCTCTCTTGTCTCTATTCTCTCTCTAGTCTCTCTCTGGTCTCTCTCTGGTCTCTCGCTGGTCTCTCTCTGGTCTCTCTCTGGTCTCTTTTTGGTCTCTATTCTCTCTCTGGTCTCTCTCTGGTCTCTCTCTGGTCTCTCTCTGGTCTCTTTTTGGTCTCTATTCTCTCTCTGGTCTCTCTCTGGTCTCTCTCTGGTCTCTCTCTGGTCTCTCTTTGGTCTCTCTTTGGTCTCTCTTTGGTCTCTCTTTGGTCTCTCTTTGGTCTCTCTTTGGTCTCTCTTTGGTCTCTCTCTGGTCTCTCTCTGGTCTCTCTTGTCTCTATTCTCTCTCTAGTCTCTCTCTGGTCTCTCTCTGGTCTCTCGCTGGTCTCTCTCTGGTCTCTCTCTGGTCTCTTTTTGGTCTCTATTCTCTCTCTGGTCTCTCTCTGGTCTCTCTCTGGTCTCTCTCTGGTCTCTTTTTGGTCTCTATTCTCTCTCTGGTCTCTCTCTGGTCTCTCTCTGGTCTCTCTTTGGTCTCTCTCTGGTCTCTCTCTGGTCTCTCTCTGGTCTCTCTTTGGTCTCTCTCTGGTCTCGCTCTGGTCTCTAGTTTAAGACTCTTCTATCTAGTCTATATTGTTAATATTATGAATTCAACATTATGTTTCATTATAACTACTGTAGTTTGGGCCTTTGTTGTTGTTTTAAATAAAATAAAATAAAACCCAAACGTGTCATTATTTTAGTTTTATAAATATTTTTTCCTGATTGAATTCCTTCCACAATGTTTTGGATCCGGCTGTGGAAAGACCTTTTGTTGATTTTGCTCAAGAGCACATCAAAAACACATCTGCCCTCTCTCTCTCTCTCTCTCTCGCTCTCTCTCTCTCTAACCCTCTTTACGCCTTAAATTGAAAGTTTGATTGAATTTGGTCCAAACGATTTATCTGGATTAAAAACAGCGCCGCGAAAAACCTACATCTACAAATATTTACTGCGAGCGGAGCCAGACGGGGGCTGTATTAATGTCAGGACGGGAGCAGATTAGAAAACCTTTTAGCTGTTGTTTTAACCCCGTGTCGCGTTCTGCCTCCGTGGCGTTTTATTCTGTCGTAATCCGGCGACGAAATCCACGGGGGAGGATCAGGGACGTCACCGAGTCCTGACCCAAATTCACAAAAGCACCAGAGACAAAACATGGTGCAGATTACCAGGAAAGCCCCTAATTATGGCGGGGATCGGCACAAACGCTCATTCTGAAACCAAAAACAGCAATTTGAGCAGCGAGGCCGTGATCACAGGGACGCCACCTGTCATTTAGAGATCAACCCGAAGTGGAGGTGTCTGTGACGATCGTGGTTGGAAATTCATGAGTCAATGTTAGAATCGTATCAACCCAACTCTCTCTCTGTGCTCGTAAAATGACTTCTGCTGGGTCCTAAAGAGTCAAGCCACCGAGCTCCTACACCGGCGGACTCCAACCTGTAGATCGGGAGACACCAGTAGCTCACCACCCCCTCCTGGGTAGCTCGCCAAAGGATTTAGAAATGGACAAATCAAATAATATACGTCACATTTCAGAGTGTATTTTTCAGTTACATGATTTATTAATGTAAATGTACTGACTTTGAGCACTAGCAACAAGTATGTGATGATAAATAATGACTCGTTCACACCAAAAGATCACCACATTTTTTCCCCAGGGCTTATGGGAGTAGCTTTCTGCTTTTATCATCCAGGGAAAGTGCTCTCTGAGTGAAAACGGTTGGAGACACCTGATCTATACACTGTGGGATCAGCTCCCCGTCCACGCCCAGGAAGCAGACACAGGTGACCGACCGGCCTCGTCCAACTTAGCAATCAACATAAAACATAATTGACTGTGTAGACTGTGTACAGATGGACAATGCTAACCCGCTAGCTCAATGACGCCCGATAATTTATGGATCTCTGTAGGAAAAATTCAAGTGTCCAAACAGAAATATAGACAAAAATACAAAATCATAAAAGTTACTTACTATAGTTTTAAAGCACAAATGTCTTAAAGAAGCAGTCAGTGATTTTTTACAGACGCATTTTTTTATATCTTGTGGGAAAACGTCCCTAAACTCTAAAAGTATCAAGCCATCATGTGTTTTCAAATAGTAATGGAATTGACAAGATTTATATTATTATTTTAATTTATGAAACATATTTTGGAGCGGACCGATAAAAATAAACCAATGGGATTCGTTCATCCCCAACGAACCAATGGGATTCCTTTACCTCTTCACCCTCTTCCTGTTTCTCCGAGTGCACTGGAGTTATCGGATTTTTTAAAACTTTAAAGGGCTGAACAGAAAATGCCTATTTCACGTTTGCTCCACTCTCCCTGTTGTGACAAAGAAAAGAAAATGCTGGATGTTTGGTTTGGTGGAGAGGGAAGGGAGGGGGGAGGGGTTTAGAGTTGGTGCTACGGCTAAGCTAACAACACCACCTACTGCACCTTTAAGCCCTGTGTAATGGTGCGTTCAGACCAAACGCGATTTCTGCGGCCAAAGCGGCGGGTCTACATTGACACAACATGGGGGACGCGCGCCAAGGAGCGGCAAGAGATCACGCGGCGCAATTCGCGCGGCCAGAGCGGCGCGAATTCGAGCGTTTCGCGCGATTTGCGCGGCGTGTTTTGAGATGTCAAGCGTTTTGACGCGCGTTTCGCGCGATTCGTGCCTCCAACGCGGCCGCCGCTAGAGTTGAACAATGTTGAACTTTTTGGGAGAATTCGCGTGTGCCGACCAATCAGGAGCTTTCTCCTCCAGTGACGTAGTGACGCATTTCACTACCGGGAAAACACTAGTAGATGACAGCTATGGAGGACACATTAATTGCTCAGGTCGGTGCTCATTCTGAGCTATATAACACTGCGGACCACAGCTACCGGGACCGAAATAAAAAGGAGCTTGCTTGGAGGAGGGTTAGCGAGGTGGTTGGTGTCTCGGGTAAGTTATTTTAACTTTTCAATGTTGTAAATATTTCCCCGCGAAAAAAACTACTACTTTCCTGCTTACGAGTTGATGTGTTTATTCAGTGGAAGTTTGCAAAAAGCGGTGGAAGAATCTGAGGGACACATATGAGGTGCTGAAGGTCGGTGTCATGCAGCAAACGGAGACCTCGAACAGTTGGAAAAAATACATTTCTTTCCTTTCTATTACCCACATTTTGCTGACTTTTACATTTATATTGCTTTCTGTGTATGCATTTCTTTTAATGCTTTCTTAACATCATGGCCAGGTGAAAATAGGCATTGGCTATTTTCAAACCAGGATAGATCTTGATCATGTGTTGTGTTAAATTTCACTTTTCCCTTTTATATGAACAAATCATTTAAATGTACATAATAATGTACATTATTATGTACATATAAATGTCATAAGCGCAATGTACACATGATATGAAATAATTGTATTTCTTGTTTTCTTCTGGCGCAGATACTGCCACCACCACACAAGGTGAGACATCTTGGCCTGAGCTGCCTGCTGCTGCTGCTGCTGCTGCTTCCTCAGCCGGTTCTTCTTCTGTGAGGGCTGGACCTTCCCCTGCTTCTGCACCTACAGGTGTGGCTTTTTTTAATCATTGTTTTATTTTTATTCTTATTACAGGACTGTTCATATAAACAAAATGTTACTGCATAATATGCCAAAATTACCCAAGGGCTGTTACATCAGTGTAGACGACAAATTTACAGAGAAACGACAAGATGTAAGGCACTACAGGTGGAAAGAAGCTTTGGTCTGATACAACACATCTTCCCTCTTTCTTTGATAAAAACATACTACTGAAATACCTTATGCTATAAAAGTACTGAACAAATACATGCAATGGTTGCCACAAGATGGCAGCTATCCTGTTTAATGCAGACAATAGAGTATTACTTTTTTACAGCCAATTTCAAATTTCATTGCGAAATACACTTCAGCGATATTAGTTTGTAACTGTCGAAATTTGTGCATGTGTGAGTAATTTCATTGATAACTGCAATGTTCAAGTTAATTGTAACAAACACACAACTTAAAAGTGTTTTACATGTGTTTAACTATGTCTACACACTCTGGCTTTAATACAGATATTATTTGCTCTCTTCATTTTGCTTTTTTGAAATACATGTTCCACTTTTTAACACTGTGATTGCCCTGTGTTCTTTGTTGGCGGCTCTACGGACGTGGGCCTCTTCCGAGCCCTCTTCCTTGGTGGGCCTTCAGAGTGGGAGCGGGAGCTGCTGGAGACTCTACGGACCAAAGCAGCCGGACCGCCCGACTACTCAGAAGAACATCAGTTCCTGCTCTCTCTCTTTCCTCTCCTGCAAAGGGTGGCACCAGAGTCAAAAGAATTTGTGAAATTCAAAATGTACCAACTTTTATATGAAAGCAGCACCGTTCTGCTTAATTTGGAACCATTGGCCAGAACAGACAGTTTTTTGACCTAAGGTGACACCTTTTGCAGGAGAGGAAACAGACATGTGTCCCTTTCCTCTTCCACCGCACCTCCTCCAAGCAAGCTCCTTTTCATTTGTTTATATGTACATTTCATTTATTTTTCATTGTTTGTTCCTTTTTTTATAAAGAAAATATTTTTCAAACCTCATGTGTTCTACTTCAAGCCAACCATTACTACCTTTCATATAATATTGACAGAAAATGCTATTCTATATTTGTACATTTACTTTTATAAGAGCTGACTGGGTTTTATAGAAGATGGAATAACAAACACTTAAAGAGCGATACAGTAGTTGACAGTATTTTTTATTCATTTCACCTTTTACTGTTTTAACAACCTTGTAATTATGGAAAAGCTTGAATGTGCATATGATTAACCTGAAGTTGGAGTGGAGTCGCAGTGGAGTCTGGCAGTCATTACCTAGAAACAGAAGGTATACAGGTGAATAGAATAGTGCAAATCAATATGGGTTTGGACTATGGCCAGATGTGGGTCAGTCTTGTGGTGGACATGACTACTCTGTGGGCTGCCACGGCAGTGCTCCCTCCTCACTGAAGTGGGCCATGAACACTTTCCTTATGTCCACTGCTGGCTTCCAGGCGGCCATCCGCTGCACGCCTGGAAGTGGTTCTTCACCGGCAGCAGCTCCCCTCGGTGCAGGAACCTGCCCATCTCCAGCCATCCTCATCCTCATCCTGGAGATGGGCAGGGCGCATTAAATTGCAGCGCAGTGAAAAGGCCTCATCTGCCACGAACACATGGGGCTGGGGTCCTCTGTGGTCAGCTCCAGGTATGCACTGGTCAGGAGGCAGGTCGAGTGTGCCCTCGCGCAGAGCCTCACCAAAGGCAGAGTTGGACACGATGCCTCCATCGCTGGATCTGCCGTACCCTCCCACATCAATCACCCTGAACCTGTACTGGGCATCCACTACAGCCAGGAGCACAAGGGAATGGTGCCCCTTATAATTAAAAAACATGGACCCAGAGTTGGGGGGTGCCTTCACAGCCACATGCTTCCCATCAATGGCCCCACAGCACAGAGGGAAGTTCCATCGGACCTCCACTCCTCTGCTCCAGGCACAGCCATGAACTCCTCCACGAGGCAGTCCCAGATGGCTGCCACCACATCTGGGATGAGCATGGAGACGGTGGATATGCCCACTCTGAAGCTCCCCGCAATGGTCCTGTAGGAGTCCCCAGTGGCAAGAAACCTGCAATTACAAAATGATATGAACATATTTATCACAATTACATTCATAAAAATCACGTGACAAAACTTGTGTAGCATAAAATACGTTAAACTAGTAGACAGTAAACATCATAGACAGTAATCATAGACACCATATTGTTGCATAATACTGTTTTCTGAGCTATTACATTGTGGATTGTGATTGAAAAATGACACACTTTGTAAGTATTTAGGAATTCCGAATGGGGTAAAAAACACTAACCGCAGACAGATGGACAGGCGCTCTTCAGCTGGAATAGAGCGCCTGTAGTTGGTGTCCTGGTAGGAGATCCTAGCGCCAATGCGGGTCAGTAGGTCGTCAAACTGGGCCAGGGAGAGACGAAAGTACCGCTGAAAGCGACCCTCATCCGAGCGCAGCTCCCGGAGCAAATGGTGAAACTCACCAAACTCCAACCGTCTACGGACTATCTGATGAATCCAGACACGTCGTCGATTCGCCCTTTGACGACGTGTCTGGCTTTATTTATCAGATAAAGCAACTCCTTCGCTGACATCCATTTTGGGAAGCTACAGGCAAAAGAGACAAGCCCCGCCCCTAGACGCTCTCAACGCTCTGTGACAGCGGCTGCCCTCTAGTGTCCTGGCCGCGCGGCCAAGTTTCTCTGTGACAGCGGCTGCCACAATTTGTCACAAGCGGCTCAAGCCGCGCGATAGACGCGATTTGGCCGCAGAAATCGCGTTTGGTCTGAACGCACCATTAAAGGCCACTTCTGCAGATTCATTGATGGGGCGTCTGTTGTGCGCTGATGAGACGACAACACCACAGTTTTCTCCGGTCAATAATGAGCTTTGGCACCGTACGTGGCAAGTACAGGCATGTTTATTTGTTTGGCACAGATCATACACAAGGGTTCCCAAAACAAGACCAAAAAGACACCATCCAACAGTGTGACAATAATCAATCCACTAATGAATCCTCTCCTGTGCTCGCTGAAAGGACACCAGCCGCGCAGATAAAAGGCTTAGTCAGCTCCACTCAGGACGCATCAACACACGCCCTGGGTGTGAAGACCTCCTGCTGTGTGCCCTTGAGCAGGACACCATCTGCTCGCTCAGCAGGACACAGGGCACAGGAGGTGGTGATTCCCAGAGAGCTGAAGGTGCTCATTTACATCTGGTTTAACTTGGACCGAATGTCGTAGCTAAATTATAGTGTGTGTGTCTTATATGTCATACAGTATGTGGTGTGTAGGGGTAGGGGTTTTGGCATTTTCATTTTACACTTCAATGTATTTGTGTGTTGACCCAAAAATCCCAAAAGCAGTCAAGCACTTTACAAAGACAGATCAGAGACTTAAAAACAGGAAAAGCATTGATACAAAAACACACAAGGGGCAGATGACCAAAATCTGTAAATGTTAAAGGAGCAGTGTGTACAAATGTGGCACAAAGTGGTACTGCAGCCTCTCCCACTCTCCCTGACTCAGGTTGCCAGAAATGCAGACGAATCCAGCTGGGACCATAACAGCTGAATAGACAAGAGTTTTGTCAACAACAAATCTATAACCAACACCTTTTTCACAAAGATAGAAATCCTGGTTTTATTCCTTGTTTTGTTGTTAATGAATTGAGAATCAGAATCAGACCTTTTTTAGTTCTGCGCCACATGGTACTTTACCAGTGAGATTAGCTCCACGCGGTGAGTTCTGGCGCCCGGATCACAGACTTTCTGATTGGTGAAACGGTGGAGGGCGGGACATCGAAATGAAAACAATTACAAGATTTACGGGATGTAAAAATAACTTTGAAATTCAAATATCTCTGAACTACTGTTATCAGTTAAAGAAGATTTGGAAAAGAGCAGTTTATAATTATGACAGATTAGGGCCCTTTAATGATGACAGATTAGGGCCCGTTAAAGATGACAGATTAGGGCCCTTTAACGATGACAGATTAGGGCCCTTTAACAATGACAGATTAGGGCCCTTTAACGATGACAGATTAGGGCCCTTTAATGATGACAGATTAGGGCCCTTTAACGATGACAGATTAGGGCCCTTTAACGATGACAGATTAATGATGACAGATTAGGGCCCTTTAATGATGACAGATTAGGGCCCTTTAACAATGACAGATTAGGGCCCTTTAATGATGAATTGATATGAAAATCTTACATATTGCTTCTTTAATTCATGATCAGACAGATAAAAACACTCACACAGACACACACACAGACATACACACACACGTACGATTAACCTTCTTGTGAAACTCCAAATCTCCCTTCTGATATAAAAAGAAAGACAGAGAGAAGAACCGCACACACTCCACTTTGACAGGACGTTGCACTCAGTGATTCTCAGAATCCTGGTTTCAACATTTCAGATTTTTTTTTAGGCCAAAAGCAGAAGTATCGACGGGTCACGCTGCTCGAGGTCAATGTTTCTTAATTCTGTTGTTTTCAAATCAATGTCATTTGGTCAAATATGGTGAAAGACCAGCAACATGAAGAGTTCACATGGTCCCGTACTGTCGACGGTACTGTACAGACCGGAGCTGACGTTCACATGGTCCCGTACTGTCGATGGTACTGTACAGACCGGAGCTGACGTTCACATGGTCCCGTACTGTCGATGGTACTGTACAGACCGGAGCTGACGTTCACATGGTCACGTACTGTCGATGGTACTGTACAGACAGGAGCTGACGTTCACATGGTCACGTACTGTCGATGGTACTGTACAGACCGGAGCTGACGTTCACATGGTCCCGTACTGTCGATGGTACTGTACAGACCGGAGCTGACGTTCACATGGTCCCGTACTGTCGATGGTACTGTACAGACCGGAGCTGACGTTCACATGGTCACGTACTGTCGATGGTACTGTACAGACAGGAGCTGACGTTCACATGGTCCCGTGCTGTTGATGGTACTGTACAGACCGGAGCTGATGTTCACATGGTCCCGTGCTGTCGATTGTACTGTGGTTCAAAGTTCTGGTGGAGGAAGGAATGTTGAATAAATAATATTTTTGTCGTCTAAATGTTATAAAATGAGTCACAAAGTTATTCATGAATATTTTGGACTTTTTTTAAATCCACAAGTACTCCACAAGAAGTCAAACTTTTGTACGACTGAACCTTCTGAACCCTGAGGACCAAGTCTTCTGAACCTTAAGGAGACCAAAGAGAGACCAGAGAGAGACCAGAGAGAGACCAGAGGGAGACCAGAGAGAGACCAGAGAGAGACCAGAGAGAGACCAGAGAGAGACCAAAGAGAGACCAGAGGGAGACCAGAGAGAGACCAGAGGGAGACCAAAGAGAGACCAGAGAGAGACCAGAGGGAGACCAGAGAGAGACCTAAGAGAGACCAGAGAGAGACCAAACAGACCAAACAGAGACCAGAGAGAGACCAGAGAGAGACCTTAGGGAGACAAGAGAGAGACCAGAGAGAGAGACCAGAGAGAGACCAGAGAGAGACCTAAGAGAGACCAGAGGGAGACCAGAGGGAGACCAAAGAGAGACCAGAGAGTGGGACCAGAGAGAGAGACCAGAGAGAAACCTAAGAGAGACCAGAGGGAGACCAAAGAGAGACCAAAGAGAGACCAAAGAGAGACCAGAGGGAGACCAGAGAGAGACCAGAGGGAGACCAAAGAGAGACCAGAGAGAGACCAGAGGGAGACCAGAGAGAGACCTAAGAGAGACCAGAGAGAGACCAAACAGACCAAACAGAGACCAGAGAGAGACCAGAGAGAGACCTTAGGGAGACAAGAGAGAGACCAGAGAGAGAGACCAGAGAGAGACCAGAGAGAGACCTAAGAGAGACCAGAGGGAGACCAGAGGGAGACCAAAGAGAGACCAGAGAGTGGGACCAGAGAGAGAGACCAGAGAGAGACCTAAGAGAGACCAGAGGGAGACCAAAGAGAGACCAAAGAGAGACCAGCGGGAGACCAGAGAGAGACCAGAGGGAGACCTAGGGAAAGACCAAAGAGAGACCAGAGAGAGACCAGAGAGAACTCTGACCCCTGAGGACCGGTCCTTCTGAACCCTGAAGACCAAGCCCTCTGACCCCTGAGGACCGGTCCTTCTGAACCCTGAAGACCAAGCCCTCTGACCCCTGAGGACCGGTCCTTCTGAACCCTGAAGACCAAGCCCTCTGACCCCTGATGGACCGAGTCATCTCTGCTGCTTCCGCTCATGTTTCAAAACTCTGACTCACTTCCAAACACTGCGACACATGCTGTTCCTGTTTCTTTTGTAAATCATCTTTGAGAGTCAGCAAACCTCCTCACAATGAAAGTACAATGTATTATAATTATTTTGTTGAGTTAAGTCAAGTTAAGACCAATCTGAGCAGGTTACATTGCTCCATCCATTTTCTACCCATGTCTCCCTTTAACGCCCCCTATATTCTAATTTTCAATATCTATTCTCTTTCTCTCTAATATCAGTCATTACAGTCATAAAATCATGTATAATAACTTATTTCTTATCATACCCGTGATGAATGTAATTTTGTTCTGTATATAATGTAAATATTTTTGTTTTTGTCTTCGTCATTGTATGTATCCCTGTATATGTATATTTGTGTTTTTGTAATTAAAAAATAAATTTAAAACGAATTAAAAAAACCCCTTAATCCATTTCTGGGTCTGCGATGGACGAGGACACACACCAATAACAGACGTTTAAAGCCATCTGGAAATAGGTTGAGGTGGTTGAGTTTCTCTGATGACTGAGAGAGAAACGGGTTTATGTAAATGTCTCTCTGTGCTGCATCAGTGACCTGGATTTACATGTTTCCATCAGGGAAGCCCCTAGTGTTGCATCAGGGAAGCCCCTCGTGTTGGACTGTGCAGAATCTGCCAAAAAAACATGAAGTAAAGAGCTTAACTCAGAAACTATGGTTCTTTTTTAACTCTGCTTCTGATCCCATAGGCTTTCAATGTTATAGGTCTACAGTGTGATGAAATGAAAAACGCCAATATTTATGGTGTAATGTTGTAAAAATAGAGAGAGACCAGAGAGAGACTAGAGAGGGACCAGAGAGGGACCAGAGAGAGACCAGAGAGAGACCAGAGAGAGACCAGAGAGAGACCAGAGAGAGACCAGAGAGAGACCAGAGAGAGAGACCAGAGAGAGACCAGAGAGAGACCAGAGAGAGACCAGAGAGAGACCAGAGAGGGACCAGAGAGGGACCAGAGAGAGACCAGAGAGAGACCAGAGAGAGACCAGCGAGAGAGACCAGAGAGAGACCAGAGAGAGACCAGAGAGAGAGACCAGAGAGAGAGACCAGAGAGAGACCAGAGAGAGAGACCAGAGAGAGACCAGAGAGAGACCAGAGAGAGACCAGAGAGAGACCAGAGAGAGAGACCAGAGAGAGACTAGAGAGAGACCAGAGAGAGAGACCAGAGAGACCAGAGAGAGAGACCAGAGAGAGACCAGAGAGAGACCAGAGAGAGACCAGAGGGACCAGAGAGGGACCAGAGAGAGACCAGAGAGAGACCAGAGAGAGACTAGAGAGGGACCAGAGAGGGACCAGAGAGAGACCAGAGAGAGACCAGAGAGAGACCAGAGAGAGACCAGAGAGAGACCAGAGAGAGAGACCAGAGAGAGACCAGAGAGAGACCAGAGAGAGACCAGAGAGAGACCAGAGAGAGAGACCAGAGAGAGAGACCAGAGAGAGACCAGAGAGAGACCAGAGAGAGAGCAGAGAGAGACCAGAGAGAGACCAGAGAGAGAGACCAGAGAGAGACCAGAGAGAGAGACCAGAGAGAGACCAGAGAGAGACCAGAGGGAGACCAGAGAGAGACCAGAGAGAGACCAGAGGGAGACCAGAGAGAGACCAGAGGGAGACCAGAGAGAGACCAGAGAGAGACCAGAGAGAGAGACCAGAGAGAGACCAGAGAGAGACCAGAGAGAGACCAGAGAGAGAGACCAGAGAGAGACCAGAGGGAGACCAGAGAGAGACCAGAGAGAGACCAGAGAGAGAGACCAGAGAGAGACCAGAGAAAGACCAGAGAGGGGGCAGTGTGTGTGTCAGTGACAGCTCTGGTTTATAGGTGTAATAACAGCTCATCACAGGAGACTCTCCAAGACGTATGGACTCACACATTTGTCCTTTGGTCTCCCAATGAATCTCTGTGTGTGTGTGTGTGTGTGTGTCTGTGTGTGTGTGTGTGTGTGTGTGTGTGTGTGTGTGTGATATTCTGATATTGTTGTTACAGACTGTTGTGTACCATAGACCTACTTTACATGTTGTGCGTCAGTGTAAATGATGTGTTATTGTCTCCTGATGTGTTGAGTGTATCGTCAACACAAAACAAATGCTGTTATTTTCCACTCCTGCACCTCTTCAGACACGGGAAGAACAAACAAACTCCTTATGTGTATTGCCGATTACCAGACTGAGACTAAAAAACATATTTTTTTGTGCCGTGAAAGTGTGTGTATCAGTTTCAGTCTGAGAGAGTCTGTGTGGTCGGATCAGGACGCACAAACTTCACATTTTTCTCCTTTGTCTTTTTACTAAGCTGATTATAACCCAGCGTTTGACAGACACACACAGACACACACACACAGACACACACACAGACACACACACAGACACACACACACAGAGACACACACAGACACACAATCCGCCGGCTCACGACCCCATGGTGGTTGCCGACGTTAACCACGGAGGGCATGAATATTAAGAGGCGGATTTGAGTCGTCGCTCTGAAATTGGAAATCGCCACTTTGACTAATCAGCTTTCGGAGGGTATTTTTTGCTCTACCCGGCCGACCCCCTCACCCTCCCTCACCCTCCCTCACCCCCCTCACCCCCCTCACCCTTCCTCACCCCTCCTCACCCCTCCTCACCTCCCTCACCCCCTCACCCCTCCTCACCCCCCTCACCCCTCCTCACCCCCCTCACCCCTCCTCACCCTCCCTCACCCCTCCTTACCCTCCCTCACCCCTCCTCACCCTTCCTCACCCCTCCTCACCTCCCTCACCCCCCTCACCCCTCCTCACCTCCCTCACCCTTCCTCACCGTCCCTCACCCCTCCTCACCTCCCTCACCCTTCCTCACCCCTCCTCACCCCTCCTCACCTCCCTCACCCCCCTCACCCCTCCTCACCTCCCTCACCCTTCCTCACCGTCCCTCACCCCTCCTCACCTCCCTCACCCCTCCTCACCTCCCTCACCCTTCCTCACCCCTCCTCACCCCTCCTCACCTCCCTCACCCTTCCTCACCCCTCCTCACCCCTCCTCACCTCCCTCACCCCCCTCACCCCTCCTCACCTCCCTCACCCTTCCTCACCGTCCCTCACCCCTCCTCACCTCCCTCACCCTTCCTCACCCCTCCTCACCCTCCCTCACCCCTCCTCACCCCCTCACCCTTCCTCGTACCTTTGCGGTCTCCAAGGCAACCTCTCCTCCGCCAACACACACACACACACACACTGTAGGTTTGCTTTGTGAACTTCTTGGGGACATAGCGATGACTTTGATCCATGACTGAACAGTGGGGACTCTGAGGCTTTAGGGTCTTTGCTGTGATTGGTTAATGGAAAGCAGGAAGCAGGAAGTAGCTACGATTATTTAATCGCACAAAGTCGTCTGACACTGGGTCCAAATAAGTCTAACTTCTTCCACTTGGATTTCTATAAATGTCTCTACAGTCTGTGTGTGTGTGTGTGTGTCTGAGTCTGCGTGTGTGTGTGTCTGAGTCTGTGTGTGTGTGTGTGTGAGTCTGTGTGTGTGTGTGTGTGTGTGTGTGTCTGAGTCTGCGTGTGTGTGTCTGAGTCTGTGTGTGTGTGTGAGTCTGTGTGTGTGTGTGTGCATCTGTGTGTGTGTGTAGATTCTGGTCCCCACAAGGCTACAAAACCCATAAGACCCAGATTTTTCTCCCTTTTCTTCCTTTGAAGTTATGCTTTTAATTAGGAGAGGCGCTAATTTTGCAAATGATCCAGTGTTTATATTGTAACCCTTTTATTTTTTATATAAATGTATTTAAACTATGTGTTCTCCCTGAGTCTTTGTTAACACTTGTGAATCTAATAACCAATATGTGTGTGTGTGTGTGTGTGTGTAGATGCTGGTCCCCACAAGGCTATAAATCCCTACAGATTGCTCCCTCTCCGTCTTCCTTCCCTCTCTGTACTTCCTGCTGTGAGGCAGAGTGCTTATTCACTGCCAGCCCCTCCCCTCTCCTTGGACCCCGAAATAACCCAAGTGGCTATTAGCACGAGCTACAAGAGGCAGGGGGGGGGGGGGGGCTGTGTGCTGCCGCCACTGAAGAGAACCCTCTCCCCTCTATGCTCGGGCATCGTCCTTCTGGCTTTTGTTCCGACAAACTCATTACGGAACACAGACCTGAATGGGGAGAGCACAGACCGGTGCGTCTGGGGCTGAATGGAGAGAACACAGACCCGTCTCGGGCTGAATGGAGAGAGCACAGACCCGTCTCGGGCTGAATGGAGAGAGCACAGACCCGTCTCGGGCTGAATGGAGAGAACACAGACCCGTCTCGGGCTGAATGGAGAGAGCACAGACCCGTCTCAGGCTGAATGGAGAGAACACAGACCCGTCTCGGGCTGAATGGAGAGAGCACAGACCCGTCTCAGGCTGAATGGAGAGAGCACAGACCCGTCTCAGGCTGAATGGAGAGAACACAGACCCGTCTCGGGCTGAATGGAGAGAACACAGACCCGTCTCGGGCTGAATGGAGAGAGCACAGACCCGTCTCGGGCTGAATGGAGAGAACACAGACCCGTCTCGGGCTGAATGGGGAGAGCACTGACCCGTCTCGGGCTGAATGGGGAGAACACAGACCCGTCTCGGGCTGAATGGGGAGAGCACTGACCCGTCTCAGGCTGAATGGAGAGAGCACAGACCCGTCTCGGGCTGAATGGAGAGAACACAGACCCGTCTCGGGCTGAATGGAGAGAACACAGACCCGTCTCGGGCTGAATGGGGAGAGCACTGACCCGTCTCAGGCTGAATGGAGAGAGCACAGACCCGTCTCGGGCTGAATGGAGAGAGCACAGACCCGTCTCGGGCTGAATGGAGAGAACACAGACCCGTCTCGGGCTGAATGGAGAGAACACAGACCCGTCTCGGGCTGAATGGAGAGAACACAGACCCGTCTCGGGCTGAATGGGGAGAACACAGACCCGTCTCGGGCTGAATGGAGAGAACACAGACCCGTCTCGGGCTGAATGGGGAGAGCACTGACCCGTCTCGGGCTGAATGGAGAGAACACAGACCCGTCTCGGGCTGAATGGGGAGAACACAGACCCGTCTCGGGCTGAATGGGGAGAACACAGACCCGTCTCGGGCTGAATGGAGAGAACACAGACCCGTCTCGGGCTGAATGGAGAGAACACAGACCCGTCTCGGGCTGAATGGGGAGAACACAGACCCGTCTCGGGCTGAATGGAGAGAACACAGACCCGTCTCGGGCTGAATGGGGAGAGCACTGACCCGTCTCGGGCTGAATGGGGAGAACACAGACCCGTCTCGGGCTGAATGGGGAGAACACAGACCCGTCTCAGGCTGAATGGGGAGAACACAGACCCGTCTCGGGCTGAATGGGGAGAACACAGACCCGTCTCAGGCTGAATGGAGAGAGCACAGACCCGTCTCGGGCTGAATGGAGAGAGCACAGACCCGTCTCGGGCTGAATGGGGAGAGCACAGACCCGTCTCGGGCTGAATGGAGAGAGCACAGACCCGTCTCGGGCTGAATGGAGAGAACACAGACCCGTCTCGGGCTGAATGGAGAGAACACAGACCCGTCTCGGGCTGAATGGGGAGAACACAGACCCGTCTCGGGCTGAATGGAGAGAACACAGACCCGTCTCGGGCTGAATGGAGAGAACACAGACCCGTCTCGGGCTGAATGGGGAGAGCACTGACCCGTCTCGGGCTGAATGGAGAGAACACAGACCCGTCTCGGGCTGAATGGGGAGAACACAGACCCGTCTCGGGCTGAATGGGGAGAACACAGACCCGTCTCGGGCTGAATGGAGAGAGCACAGACCCGTCTCGGGCTGAATGGAGAGAGCACAGACCCGTCTCGGGCTGAATGGAGAGAACACAGACCCGTCTCGGGCTGAATGGGGAGAACACAGACCCGTCTCGGGCTGAATGGAGAGAACACAGACCCGTCTCGGGCTGAATGGAGAGAGCACAGACCCGTCTCGGGCTGAATGGAGAGAGCACAGACCCGTCTCGGGCTGAATGGAGAGAACACAGACCCGTCTCGGGCTGAATGGAGAGAACACAGACCCGTCTCGGGCTGAATGGGGAGAACACAGACCCGTCTCGGGCTGAATGGAGAGAACACAGACCCGTCTCGGGCTGAATGGAGAGAACACAGACCCGTCTCGGGCTGAATGGGGAGAGCACTGACCCGTCTCGGGCTGAATGGAGAGAACACAGACCCGTCTCGGGCTGAATGGAGAGAGCACAGACCCGTCTCGGGCTGAATGGAGAGAACACAGACCCGTCTCGGGCTGAATGGAGAGAGCACAGACCCGTCTCGGGCTGAATGGAGAGAGCACAGACCCGTCTCGGGCTGAATGGAGAGAACACAGACCCGTCTCGGGCTGAATGGAGAGAACACAGACCCGTCTCGGGCTGAATGGAGAGAACACAGACCCGTCTCGGGCTGAATGGAGAGAACACAGACCCGTCTCAGGCTGAATGGGGAGAGCACAGACCCGTCTCGGGCTGAATGGGGAGAACACAGACCCGTCTCGGGCTGAATGGGGAGAGCACAGACCCGTCTCGGGCTGAATGGAGAGAACACAGACCCGTCTCGGGCTGAATGGAGAGAGCACAGACCCGTCTCGGGCTGAATGGAGAGAGCACAGACCCGTCTCGGGCTGAATGGAGAGAACACAGACCCGTCTCGGGCTGAATGGAGAGAACACAGACCCGTCTCGGGCTGAATGGAGAGAGCACAGACCCGTCTCGGGCTGAATGGAGAGAACACAGACCCGTCTCGGGCTGAATGGGGAGAACACAGACCCGTCTCGGGCTGAATGGAGAGAACACAGACCCGTCTCGGGCTGAATGGAGAGAACACAGACCCGTCTCGGGCTGAATGGGGAGAACACAGACCCGTCTCGGGCTGAATGGAGAGAACACAGACCCGTCTCGGGCTGAATGGAGAGAGCACAGACCCGTCTCAGGCTGAATGGGGAGAACACAGACCCGTCTCGGGCTGAATGGGGAGAACACAGACCCGTCTCGGGCTGAATGGGGAGAGCACAGACCCGTCTCGGGCTGAATGGAGAGAGCACAGACCCGTCTCGGGCTGAATGGGGAGAACACAGACCCGTCTCGGGCTGAATGGGGAGAACACAGACCCGTCTCGGGCTGAATGGGGAGAGCACAGACCCGTCTCGGGCTGAATGGAGAGAGCACAGACCCGTCTCGGGCTGAATGGGGAGAAAGCTCGGATTGTAAACGTAATAGAGGCCAAAAAATAGGATGGAATTAGAAGGGTTTCCAAAGCACTGATGAACGACCCTGTCAGGCACAAGGTCTCCTCGAGCTCAGCTCCGACCGAGCGGGAGAACGGAGGACGAGGAACAGAAGGTGGAGAGAGTGTTTTGAGGAGGAACTATTCAGTCGTACAAAACGGAATATTCAGAATTGTATATGTTCAGGTTTTTAGTCAATAGAAGCTTGAATGTGGTCGGCCTCGGGATGTTTGCCCAAGGTCCAGACCCGAGGACCAGACCCGAGGTCCAGACCCGAGGACCAGACCCGAGGACCAGACCCGAGGTCCAGACCCGAGGACCAGACCCGAGGACCAGACCCGAGGTCCAGACCCGAGGTCCAGACCCGAGGACCAGACCCGAGGTCCAGACCCGAGGTCCAGACCCGAGGTCCAGACCCGAGGACCAGACCCGAGGTCCAGACCCGAGGTCCAGACCCGAGGACCAAACCTGAGGTCCAGAGCCATCGCAGACCTTCACACGGAGCAGGTTCTTTCAGATCCAGGTCCAGACTTATTCTACAGATGTTTAAGCATACTCTCTCTCATGAACACCATACTCTCTCATGAACACCATACTCTCTCATGAACACCATACTCTCTCTCATGAACACCATACTCTCTCATGAACACCATACTCTCTCATGAACACCATACTCTCTCTCATGAACACCATACTCTCTCATGAACACCATACTCTCTCATGAACACCATACTCTCTCATGAACACCATACTCTCTCATGAACACCATACTCTATCTCATGAACACCATACTCTCTCTGATGAACGCTGCCATACTCTCTCTGATGAACGCTGCCATACTCTCTCTGATGAACACTGCCATACTCTCTTTGATGAACGCTGCCATACTCTCTCTGATGAACGCTGCCATACTCTCTCTGATGAACTCTGCCATACTCTCTCTGAGGAACGCTGCCATACTCTCTCTGATGAACGCTGTCATACTCTCTCTGATGAACGCTGCCATACTCTCTCTGATGAACGCTGCCATACTCTCTCTGATGAACGCTGCCATACTCTCTCTGAGGAACGCTGCCATACTCTCTGATGAACGCTGCCATACTCTCTCTGATGAACGCTGCCATACTCTCTCTGATGAACGCTGTCATACTCTCTCTGATGAACGCTGCCATACTCTCTCTGATGAACGCTGCCATACTCTCTCTGAGGAACGCTGCCATACTCTCTCTAATGAACGCTGCCATACTCTCTGATGAACGCTGTCATACTCTCTCTGATGAACGCTGCTATACTCTCTCTGATGAACGCTGTCATACTCTCTCTGATGAACGCTGCCATACTCTCTCTGATGAACGCTGCCATACTCTCTCTGATTAACTCTGCCATACTCTCTCTGAGGAACGCTGCCATACTCTCTCTGATGAACGCTGCCATACTCTCTCTGATGAACGCTGCCATACTCTCTCTGATGAACGCTGCCATACTCTCTCTGATGAACTCTGCCATACTCTCTCTGAGGAACGCTGCCATACTCTCTTTGAGGAACGCTGCCATACTCTCTCTGATGAACGCTGCCATACTCTCTCTGATGAACGCTGCCATACTCTCTCTGATGAACGCTGCCATACTCTCTCTGATGAACTCTGCCATACTCTCTCTGAGGAACGCTGCCATACTCTCTCTGATGAACGCTGCCATGCTCTCTCTGATGAACGCTGCCATACTCCCTCTGATGAACGCTGCCATACTCTCTCTGATGAACGCTGCCATACTCTCTCTGATGAACGCTGCCATACTCTCTCTGATGAACGCTGCCATACTCTCTCTGATTAACTCTGCCATACTCTCTCTGAGGAACGCTGCCATACTCTCTCTGATGAACGCTGCCATACTCTCTTTGATGAACGCTGTCATACTCTCTCTGATGAACGCTGTCATACTCTCTCTGATGAACTCTGCCATACTCTCTCTGAGGAACGCTGCCATACTCTCTTTGAGGAACGCTGCCATACTCTCTCTGATGAACGCTGCCATACTCTCTCTGATGAACGCTGCCATACTCTCTCTGATGAACGCTGCCATACTCTCTCTGATTAACTCTGCCATACTCTCTCTGAGGAACGCTGCCATACTCTCTCTGATGAACGCTGCCATGCTCTCTCTGATGAACGCTGCCATACTCCCTCTGATGAACGCTGCCATACTCTCTCTGATGAACGCTGCCATACTCTCTCTGATGAACGCTGCCATACTCTCTCTGATGAACGCTGCCATACTCTCTCTGATTAACTCTGCCATACTCTCTCTGAGTAACGCTGCCATACTCTCTCTGATGAACGCTGCCATGCTCTCTCTGATGAACGCTGCCATACTCCCTCTGATGAACGCTGCCATACTCTCTCTGATGAACGCTGCCATACTCTCTCTGATGAACGCTGCCATAGTGTCATTTAAAGGACAATAAGAGAAGAAGAATGTGGCCCATTTGCTCGTGTGTGCTCGGGTTAAATCACGTTAATAAATCACTTTAGCTTCAGGGATGCAGCGCCGCGCTCTGCTCTCGCTTATGAAAATGGCGTTCCACTCTGGGCAAAGCTTTCTCTCCTCTTTCCGTGAGAGATGGAAATTACCCAGCATTCACAGCGTTATTGAGAGGAACAATAATATCAATTTGTTCATTTTGAAAATGTCACGCTGTTGGAGGAAAGACACGCTGGAATACATTAGCACAGAACGTCTCTGAGGCTAATGGCGGCGTCTTAAGACAACGCCACAGAGATGGAACATGTGGACGCCCCGGGGCAGGCGCGGCTACGGAGATGCTTTTTCAATCACACAAGTCTACAGAGGAAGCAAAAAGTCCTGTTTCCACCAGCCCTACTCTGCCCTACCCTGCCCTGCCCTACCCTACACTAGCCTACCCTACTCTACTCTACCCTACTCTACTCTACTCTGCCCTACTCTACTCTACTCTACTCTACTCTACTCTACTCTACTCTACTCTACCCTACTCTACTCTACTCTGCCCTACCCTGCCCTGCCCTACCCTACCCTACCCTACCCTACCCTACCCTACCCTACTCTACTCTACTCTACTCTACTCTACTCTACCCTACCCTACCCTACCCTACCCTACTCTACTCTACTCTACCCTACCCTACTCTACTCTACTCTACTCTACTCTACTCTGCCCTACTCTACCCTACCCTACCCTACCCTACCCTACTCTACTCTACTCTACTCTACTCTACTCTACTCTACTCTACTCTACTCTACTCTACTCTACTCTACTCTACTCTGCCCTCTGCTGTTGGAGAATCCTCAATATGATGACTCAGACTCCCACAGACACAGACTCTCTCAGACTCTCACAGACACAGACTCCCACAGACACAGACTCCCACAGACTCAGACTTCCACAGACACAGACTCTCACAGACTCAGACTCCCACAGACACAGACTCCCACAGACACAGACTCAGACTTCCACAGACACAGACTCTCACGGACTCAGACTCCCACAGACACAGACTCCCACAGACACAGACTCAGACTTCCACAGACACAGACTTCCACAGACTCAGACTTCCACAGACACAGACTCTCACAGACTCAGACTCCCACAGACACAGACTCCCACAGACACAGACTCCCACAGACACAGACTCCCACAGACTCAGACTTCCACAGACACAGACTCTCTCAGACTCTCACAGACACAGACTCTCACAGACTGACTCCCACAGACACAGACTCTCACAGACACAGACTCAGACTCCCACAGACAGACTCCCACAGACACAGACTCAGACTCCCACAGACAGACTCCCACAGACACAGACTCAGACTCCCACAGACACAGACTCCCACAGACTCAGACTCCCACAGACACAGACTCCCACAGACACAGACTCAGACTCCCACAGACACAGACTCCCACAGACTCAGACTCCCACAGACACAGACTCTCACAGACACAGACTCAGACTCCCACAGACTCAGACTCCCACAGACACAGACTCTCACAGACACAGACTCAGACTCCCACAGACACAGACTCTCACAGACACAGACTCTCACAGACACAGACTCTCACAGACACAGACTCAGACTCCCACAGACACAGACTCCCACAGACTCAGACTCCCACAGACACAGACTCCCACAGACTCAGACTTCCACAGACACAGACTCTCTCACTCTCACAGACACAGACTCTCACAGACTGACTCCCACAGAGACACAGACTCTCACAGACACAGACTCAGACTCCCACAGACAGACTCCCACAGACCTCAGACTCCCACAGACACAGACTCCCACAGACTCAGACTCCCACAGACAGACTCTCACAGACACAGACTCAGACTCCACAGAGACTCCCACAGACACAGACTCCCACAGACTCAGACTCACACACTCACAGACTCCCACAGACACAGACTCAGACTCCCACAGACACAGACTCCACAGACTCAGACTCCCACAGACCACAGACTCTCACAGACTCAGACTCCCACAGACTCAGACTCTCACAGACACAGACTCTCACAGACACAGACTCAGACTCCCACAGACACAGACTCTCACAGACACAGACTCAGAGACTCACAGACTCTCACAGACACAGACTCAGACTCTCACAGACACAGACTCAGACTCCCACAGACACAGACTCTCACAGACACAGACTCACACAGACTCAGACTCCCACAGACACAGACTCACAGACTCTCACAGACTCACAGACTCACAGACTCAGACTCTCACAGACTCACAGACTCACAGACTCACAGACTCCACAGACTCACAGACTCCCACAGACTCAGACTCACAGACTCAGAGACTCACAGACACAGACTCACAGACT